TAATTGCATTTGTCTTTCTTGAGATAATGGGATCTTGGGATGGATAAACTTTGCTTTTTCTGGTGTTAAAAACTTTGCTGCTTGGTGCCAGACTTTGAAACACTGTACCTTTTATTTTAAGGTGTGTATGCAAACATACTGTACATTTCTTTCTACGAACTCCTCACTGCATAACCTCTCTGTTGCTCGCCATAACACACATTCACTCCCCACTCTCCAGGCCTATTGATATCTGATTGTCTATCTCGGAGATCTCAAATTAATTATCTTCGCCTATTTAGGAAACAAAGTCATATTAACTTGTTTATCAATGAGAAACGGAGGAAATAAAAATGTCATGCATGCATGACGCCGCTTACGGCTCTCGTAACACACTCAGATATAGGTGCACAAATATAATCCATAGTTGAGCTACTGTTACTTACTACTGTCATGTTCTAACTACAACAACTTAAAAAAAACACAAATTCCAAAATTCACCGGTAAAAAAATCTTATGTTACGAAAACTGCTGCTGCCAGGTTTAATTGGAAAATTCCAGTGTAAACATTTATCTAATTCTATCTCTATCTAACAATACTTAACCAAGCATTAAACAAGCATTTTGATAAACCCTACAAGCAGACTAAAAGGTGTGTTCATTACCTGATTCTCCGTCTCCTCGGATCCGAAAAGGAAGTTTATGGTGGCACATGGAGGTGTATGAGCCCTTGTTGGCATGTTGGGGTTGCATATGCACTTTGCAGGGGCCACACGTACATAAGTTTAAGTCAACTAAGAAATGTATGTGGTCTGAATGATTCGATTGAACTGATTAGTTGGGCACAGAAAAACTTTGAATTTCAAGTACACCACACATTTTAGTTGAAACTGACTGAAAGAAATGAGCTGAGGTAACTAAAACCTACATACTCATATCCTTTTTTACAGTGTGTAGCTATGTGTTGATGCCATATGGGATACAGCATGTGGTTGGAACAACTGCAGTGGGTTTATGCTTAAATGTAGGTGGATAAAAATCACAACTCTTCCCTATAGTAAAAAAACACCTTTCAACAACATGGCAAGTCATATATTAATATCAATATATAATTTGGTATATATTAGACATAAAAAGGCAATTTTCCAATATACCATATTTTATTTCTCCGCTATCTTGCTTTTATCAGGGTGTTATCTAGGTTTGTTTCCACTTTCTAAATATAACTTTACAATATAAATCTACTCTAAATCACATTTCTTTACTTTACACTACTGCATAGCCCTGACTCATTTCTAACTTGATGTACAGTGACCTTGACGCATCCTTCCTGTAACTGAAATTCATATTACTCTTAACCTTGTTTTGATCGACTTAAACTCACACTGATCTGCACACACTGTGTGTATTCTCAGTGGAAGCTATAAAATTGTAAACCAAGGCATTGGAAGGAATATAAGGAACTAAAGATGCAACTGATATTGATATTCTCGTTTAACTCCAGATGTAGAAAAAAAAAGCATACAAGAAACTTACTTTATAATGGCATCTCTCGTTCACAGTGGTGATTTGGTAAGAAATGAGCAGTTTACAGTTACAGTTTCTAAATCTTTACTTTGTTTGTAAGCAAGATGTAACTTCACCTGTACATTGTTTTTACTGCTTTCATCATAAGTGTACAGATTTGAACCGCTTTCAGTGAAACAAGAAGTCTGTGGATGGAGCTTTGTCAGAGGAGCATCTCATTCCAGACAACAGACGAGAAAACGTTCTGTGGCTTTTCAGGTTTTAAATGAATTTGATTACACTTGCTTGCTTATAAAACAACCCTCCAGTGTGTAACAGTTAGGTGGATCTATTGGCTGGAATATAATATGCATAGGTGTGTTTTTATTAGTGTATAATCAACTGAATATAAGAATCGTTATGTTTTAGTTACCTTAGAACAAGCCTTTTATATTCACATACGCCTTGGGACGCCTTCCTGGGAGTTTTACAGTAGCCCAGAAAGGACAGGCCAAACACTGGCACAAGATAGGGCTGTTAAAGTTTTTGTGACTTTCGAGGCCACCGTAGTTTTTCCTTCATGCTTGAAAGGGGAGGGTGAAGCGAGGGNACTAAATGCCACTAAACCTTACACACTGAACCTTTAAAACCCATTACATATATGAAAAACGCCTGAGCTATAAACTACTGCACTTTTCCTGTTGATTTGCTTAAGATATGGGGCTTTTCCCCCTTCAGTCACAATATGAGATATACATAGACATGACAGTTAACAAGCAGTGCCTCACTACCTTTCCTTGTCTGCTATAGTTCACATTTAAGCAATTGAAGGTGTGACTGAAGGTCACACTTTAACCGAAAGGGTGTATGCACAGGTCGGGTCTTGCAGCCAGAAGCAAGAGAGCTGCAGATGAGGAGCAGAGCTCACACCATACATAATGGATGAGAGAGATTTACTCTCCCGAGAAGATGCACAGCCCGCCTCTGGGCTGGGCATGTGTATGCACGTCACATGCCAGAGACAAAGCGAGCTGAGCTGAGCCGATTGAGTGAGGAGGAGAAGAAATAGAAAAGTGCATGAAGGAAACAACTCTGCTGCCAAATGGTTTGATTTCTAAAAGACTTTGATCCCTGCTGTGGCACACAGGCAGCAGAGAGATGTTGGCTGTCTAATGTGGGCAGCCGCTGACCCAGCTCTGCTGTTGTGGTGGCGGTTTGTTCTGATTGGATCAACCTCCACGGCTGTAACTCGCACAGATCAAAGCACAGGCAAAAGAGACACAAATGAGCTGAAGTTTCAGGTTGATGTTCATTGCCAGGAAAATAATTCAGACTGATGCTGATGCTACAGTGTGTGTTTGTGTCTTCAGATATCGACGAGTGTGCAGAGGGCCTGATTGAGTGCCACAACCACTCCCGCTGTGTCAACCTGCCCGGCTGGTACCACTGTGAATGCAGAAGTGGTTTCCATGACAATGGCTCCTACCTGCTCGATGGGAGCTCCTGCATTGGTGAGCATACATTGAATTAAAAAACATCCCTATCACTGCTTGAAATACCAACTCCTCAACCTCTGCGTGCCCACCGCCTACATTCTATAGACTTTTCTTTCCTCTCCCTTTTTTTGCATTCAATTACTCATAAATACTGAGTACTGTCGCTGCCTGGCTTCCTCTTCATGTCCCTTCTATCTCTGGTCCTCCTACATGATCGCTTGATTGCCATTCTTTGTCTCATTTATCCTCTTTGAAAATCTAGCAAGTAGACATAAGGATTGTGTTACATATGGGAGCATGTGCGTTTGCTCTAACGTGTCATCCTGCGAGCTTACAAGGAGGCTAATCAGAGGTTTTCTCACCTTGACAGCTCGAGATCTAACCATGCAGTGTGAAACCCACACGCACAACCCATAATGAGACATTTATCAGCAACACACATCAGCTTGGTGCTGCTATTAGTTGGTGTTGGTGCCCTCTCCCATGTGCTAGCCCACGAATCCAGAGAAAGGAGAGTTAGAGAAGGAAACTGAGAAACACCAGGATTGTCTGCTTCCTGTCTGAACATACAGTGCTGATGATGCATAGAGCAGGAAAGTACAGTGAAAGTCCTGACATTGCAAGCAACGTGCTTAATAATTTGCAATATTTCCACAATTTGTGCCTATTTTACGATGAAATGATTTTGAAGATTTAGAATGCAGTAGCTTACAGGCGAGTACCAATTATAGAGCAATAAATGAAAACAAGGAGAAAGAAATCAATACAATTTAGTTTACTTCAGCATAGATGCTGCTACTCTCACTCCCACACCCTGATATTGGTTCTGCTAATCTGTCAGATAAAAGTTTTAGGAGGCTGTGTAGGCTTATTTGATCTGATTTGAGCAATGTTAATCTTGCATACGCTCCAGTTCTTGTCCTAACTGTTTTACTGCTGATTATCATATAATCAGATTCTATTAATGTCCTGTGAAAAGAGAAGTCTTTGATGTGCTTTGATGATTGTTTCACAACAAATGCTCAAATTCTGAATAAGAGAGGTGCACATGTTGCAAAATATTTGGCAGTTTTGTGACTTATTTGTTAATTTGGTGATAATGAAAGCGAGTGAAACATCTTTTTGTAGTACCATTATGGTTGTAAAACTCTTAACAGCTCTCCATTAACCACTGATTTGGTGATTTGCAGGTCAAAACGAGTCCACACAAAAACTGGGTAAAAAAGTTTAACTCTTACATGTACATGTTACAGATAAATGTTGTTTCAACAGCATTTAAATGGTTGTACTATGGTTATACTTCAAAGTTGAGTTATTACCTATAGTCATTTAAATACTGTTAAAATAACAATTACACATAACCAAGAGTCTATAACTACGCTAAATGCTAACTTCACAATGACAACTCTGACATGCTGATGTTTAGAAGGTCACCATCTTAGTTTAGCCTGCTAACATTTGCTAATAGCAATAAACACAAGTACAGCTGCTTACTGATTACTGGCACTGACATTACCTGAACATCAGGATTTTCAGTGGTTCAGCATATTACGGATGACATTCTGCATGTCTGAGAGCAGGAGCTCATAATATCTAAATATCACTCAACAAATCTCTGGCATAGCTTTTATTTTTGCAGCGGTGAAAAGTCTGAATGGATGCGGCAAACAGGAACGCTTGGCTCAGTGAAAGGCTTTTGCTTTCACTTAACCTTTAAATCAAAATGCAACATCAGCAGTCCAGTTTGATTAATTTACTTTGAGGGGAGAGGTATCAATTCAACACATTCCTCCAGGTAGTAGATTCACTCAATTATTAGGAAAAGTGATAGACATAGCAGCTTCGTGTCACATTACCACACAGACTGAACACCATTTGGAATGTCTTTAAAGGCAGAATCAGCATCTCACGTCTCGTCACAGATCTCGTCACTTGTGATTTTCAAACTAAGATACACTCTCTTCGTCCAATTAGTGATGTAAATCTTTTAATTCTGAGTCACCTATAGGCCATTACAACCACTAATGCAAAATATAATTAATGTTTTTTTCTATTAATAAACCTCTTCCATGTGTGACTTAGTGGAAGTTAATAGTTCAAGAGTCAAATTGTTTGCACAAAACTACATACAAAAATGCATTGTTCAGGCATAGGAGGTGTCAGTTTGTAAATCTACTACTTGTTACAATATTAATCAAAGAAACATTTTAAATGATGAACATTGCATTCAGTTATCTTGTTTTTATAGACAGCTGACCAAACAGGTGTGGTGCTACATCACTGCAGTGTGATACTCTAAAGTGGTTTGGTTTTTAAGTCAGTCCCTCAGAGTCAGTGCTTTTTTCACAAGCTAGTTTTGTGCTGACGTTCAACAATCATAAACACTCATACATCAACAGGAGCCAAAAATTAAATACAAAATACAAAGTTATTCATTTATATTAACACCAGTAGTTTTAACTTCTAAATGTTAAACTAGACGTATAAGTTTTCTCTCTCATGGGCTTAGCATTCGGGGAAACAAGGCAGCTTGAGAGGAAGTGGGTACAGCACAAATGAACTCAGAATGTATTAAGCATCACAGATATAGCACAACAGTTTAAGTGGATATTTCCATTAATGGTAATATTAAAGGGATATGATAATGGCTGTGCAGCTATACTCAGGTGGATTTACAGCAGTTACAATGGATTCCAATGGTCTCCAGACTCACTGTGAAATAAAGTATCAAAACTTCTGTAGAAAATCATTCCTGCAGCATAATCCATTTCTCTGCTGTTGATCCTATATTCAGTGTGTTCTTAACACTGGTAGTTTCTCTACAACAGAGATAAACACACCACTTCTGTGACCGATTAAAACTCCACCAGAAGTAGAGTATTGAGCAAATTATTGGGGAAGCCTCGGAACATACTTAATATACAAACCCATGGCAGAGTGGTGAACTAAAGGGCCAATGCATATGATTTAGTCGCATCTAGTTGCAGATTGCAACCATTTGAATACAACTCAACCTTCCCAGCGTGTAGGAGAAACTACGATTAAAGCCCATATGTGTAGGATTTATAAATATCTGACTTTGGTAACAAGGCAATAGTCAAGTTTCTAAATTGAGCAGACATTTACATTTCCAGAAAATGTCCCAAAACATGTGAATATGCGTATCCACTACTGTTACACAAATATTTGGAGTTGGTTTATTGAGATAAACAGTTGGTGGCGCTGGCTCTAGTTAGGGGTCATTAAAGTATTGCAGAAGAGGAGGGCACAACTGGATGATGTAATTAAAACAGCACAAGTCAAACCCTAAACGAAGGAAAATGGTGAAAGCGTGATTTAAATATGGCGTGTATGTTTGTTTCAAGTATTAATTTGAGGACAGTTAACAGTCGTCTCATCGGTCCATGCAGATCTGATGTTTTCGTCTGCTGCAGTTTTTTTTTAGCTCTTCAGGGATGAGTGATGTTTAAGTCACATGCTTCATGTATGTCATGATTTATTTGTTAAATCTATTTCCATTCCACTGTGTAGCATTTTGCTATTACACAAACATTTTTTAACCTCAGTCATGCATATTTTGACACCACGTTTACATGAATGGGTTGAAAGTAGCAAATTTCACTTGGTTGTATAATTTTGCTAAAGATAAAAACTTATGCCATCAGAATGATTTAAAAGATGGTACAATCACATTAAAATAATCATTAAAACACATAACTCATATCTGCAGCAAATGAGTCAGAGGAGTTACTCACATCAGTCACAAGTCTAATCGGACATTAACTTACTTGTTTGTTGATGCTTTCAGCAAACATATTCATGACTTGAAATAAGATTAATACAATGTGATTAGTGGGAGCAGTCGCTGAGAGAGAGACTATTATTGGCTTTGCTTTTCTAGACTTTACAGCATAAATACAAGTCAATGTCTATGTGTGTGTTGTGTGCATGTAGCTGTGACAGTATATCTGCCACCTTTTTCCCCCCACTATGCAAGTATTAGGCTGGAAGCCAGCAGGGGAAATAAGTACGAATGACAATTTAACAGGATTTTTCCCCCCTTCACAATATCCCTCCAACAGCCTCTCATGAGTCAACCAAACAGAAAGTAGGATTTCGTAATAAGAGAGCCAGCTCAAAGTAGAGAGCAGCAGCACCAGGCAGTTAACCACATCAACAGCTGCATGTTGGCCAACAGTACGTGACAACCATGCAGGAAACAGCAGATAGCACTAGGGATGATAATTAATGAGAAAGAAGAGGATAATGTTTTGAGAAAGTCTTTTTGTCTGCGTACATTCATATCAGTAATTGTGTGCATAATTGCATCTGGCAAGTTAGTCGGTTTTAGGTCTTTCGGCTTTTCAGTTAGAGGCATATTTAAAAATAAATAAGTAAATCCACAGATTTCAGTATCAGATGCAAATCTACAGTAAAAAAGCATCACTTTTACACATTATTTCTTTAAAAACAAACGGCTTCCTAAGGATATGAAAATTGGCTGATGATGGCAATCTAACAAAATCAAGTGTTAGTATCCTGTGTTTTGTTACAGCAGCAAATTGGAGAATTATTCAGTGTGTTTTTCAAATGAACAGAGTGCTTTGTTGTCGTGTTGGTGCTAATTCATGTTTGGCACATGGAGCAACTAGCTGTGCTATTCTCAAGGAGTCCTGCTGAGTGACACATGAATCTAAAATAGTCTTTTATCTGTGAAGTGCATTCTCCCGTTTGGGTTAGGGGCTATTTCTAAAGTGTGTGTTTAAACAAACACTTCACACATGTCCATACAGTCTATTTTTTTCCCCACATGTGAAAAAATACATACAAATAAGCACTGTAGTTAATGGATATGGGGTAAAATTAGTTTAAGAACTAGAAACTCAGTATTGTGCTGCAATCGCTATAATATAGTTACAGTGGTTAGTGCCATAGTAAGTCAATATACACTATATTTAATCTCAATTTGTTGACCGTTGTGATCTTTCCACTGTGGCTCTTCCAGACAGTATTTTTGGTTACATTCAACTGCCTGCGACTTGCTGGCTACTTGCTATAGTAGAAACTAAACTAGACAGTTTTTGGTAACCTAACAAAAACTAGAATTTCACAAGACACATAAAACATGCTGTACGCAAAACTAATTAGTGTTTTTATTGTGCATACCCTGTGTTGCGTTGAATTGTGGTTTGTTGTTACCCTGTGTTACAACGCATTGTAGCAAAATGTCCCTTATTAGTTATGTTAGATAATTTCTATAATAATTCTTTTCTAATTCTATGAAGTTTCAGATGATGTTTTGTAATATTAAAGTGTTACAAGTTTGTGTCAAATTGTTATAATCATTGGCAGATAAAGATTGACGACATGACAGGTGTCCAAACTTAAAGCCAAAAATCTCGACCGCCCCTGGTGGCTCGCTGCAGTAGGTCATAAAACCCCACCCCCTTAATGTTAGCAGGTGGCAAACTAACTAAACTAAGATATCAAAGTACATGTCAAATACATTTTTCCCCTGAAGATGGGTTCTACGATTGTGTTCTTTTTCTGATGTTTGGTTTTAATGGAGACATGTCGCCAATCTTTATATACAGTCTATGGCCAAAATACACTGTGCTGCTTTAGGTTTTAACATTAACATTAACATTTCATTATGTTGAACTGCATATGCTGCGGGGACCAGAGCAGCTGCAAGCAGCAGTCCTTTCGCTTTATTGGTTTAACTGAGAGCTGCATGGGCTGCATCTCAAAACACATTTATTATGTCTAATGCTTTAGGGAGAGACAGGTGGCTTTAATAAACAGATGAAGATGAGGATAATACACCATAAACTACTACTGTCTCCCTTCACAACAGTGCATGTGCATCATTTTCTCTCTCTCTGTGATGTACATGACCTTTCCATATGGACTGCCTGGGGACGTACCAAAGAAATATAATTTAAATACTCAAATACTGAGCTTTTTGATGCTTTCTAATTGCCAACATCTGTCAGAGGGATTTATTTGTTTCATATTGCCATATGTTGATGCCTTTGTGTAGGTTTGTTGTCATGTTCATTCACTGCAGGATTAGTTCTTTCATTTGTAACAGCACATGTAGGTGTGAGTGTAAGTTTCTCATATGGTTGGCTGTGCTCAGCTGGTTTCTCCAAAGGGCTTTTGTGTTCGGTTGTAAGACTGTCTTTCAGAGCCTACATGTAGGAGTATGCTTCATCTGCGAGCAGCAGCTTGTGGCTGAATGTGGTGAATGTAGCATGAAGAGCATTAATCCTTCACCGGCGGAGGTACAGTATGTCTGACTGGCTGATGGGGATTTCATTTAGTGTATGCAAATATTCTGTCGCAGGCACAATAAATCCTCGGCTACACTGTTTCCTGCTCTCTCAGTATCCAGTAAACTGGATACTGCAACCAATTAGAGTTTGTATTAAGCAGTGACACAGTGTATTGTTGTGGCTGTGTGGCCAAAGTTACCAGCCAACCCTCACGTACCACTCAGAGTAGGTCTTCCTGCCAGATACCATCATCATTCTCCACTGGAGAAAACAAAAATGTATTTTGCATGTTGTTAACAGTGTAAGCAACTTACACCAGAGGATCTTAACATTTCTATGTAACCATCTCGCTTTATAAGTCATGTATTTTCATCATTTCAGTCATTTTTTGGGATTGTTTTTTGTTCGCAAATTCAACAACCATGCATTTATCTGAGAAGTGGCAAACTACAGCAATTATAACGAGAAAATCACCAAGCAATTTTTCCAACTTCTGTATTCTCTACAGTCTACAAACGTTTGCCTTTCCTTCCTGTCCGTGTTGCTGTTACTACAGACATGTCTGAACTAACTACATCCCCTCTGTTCCTATTTCCCTTGTTGAGCCAATTTTCAACTTACACAAATGTGATGTGCACATCCAGTAAGAATGGACTTTACAGTGAAGTACGAGACATCTTGTGTCCAGCAGGAAAAATGTAGAAATGAACTAAATTTGAATATTGATAGATCCTGGCATTTGTAAAGAGCTAGAAAAAGTAGATGCCTTTTAAAGGATTTTAAGAAGTGCAACAAGAACGTATGTAAATCAAGCTTTTTTTAAGCTTCACGTGGTTTTCCTTCTTCTCCTTTTCACTCAACTATGTGCAGAAAGTAAGAGTTGGACAGGCAAAAAACACATGAATTCCATTTTTAAACATGTAGTTTCCGTTTTTCTCTGCTTTCCTTCGCTAGTAGTGTGCTGTCAGTGATCGTTGTCTGTAGGCAGCAGGTGCTGGCAGGGGAGAGCAGAGCTACTGTCAAACGGACTTTAGTCTTTTTCTCTCTGAACAGCTCACATTTATGATGATAAAGAGAGTTAAATGTCATAGCTTGATAAAAGGTAGGGATAGACTTTTGGCACCTTTTTTCCTGTTCCACGCTGATAAAGAAAAGTAGATGAAAATGCTGCCTGTCGTCTCTGTTCATGTTGGTCTTTTTTGGTATGTAGAGTGGAAAAGTGAGAAAGAAGCTGACTGAGCAGATGTCTCATTACTTTGCTGATTCAACTGAATCCAATAATAAGAATATATATATGTGACTGAAGCTTTGATGCCAGTATGTATGCAGGGTACTATTTGTACATGCAGGGAAAGAGTGTGTAAGGGGATGACAAAAACAACAAAATGTTGTGATTAATAGGCAAAATCTAAAATACACAGTACATCAACATATCTCATAATCATCATTATCTTATCTTATCTTATCTTATCTTATCTTATCTTATATGTTTAGTGTTTATTTTGCACTGCTTTGCTCTGCAACAGCATGTGTGTGATACTGTTCAGGGAGGTATTGCTATATCTAATTTGTGGGAACTCAAGAACCTCCATACTAAAACACAGCTGTAGACCTGCTGCTAACATCGTGGGTGCTCCTCCCTAACTGACCAGAACTACCTGTAGCTTCACTTTCTACGACTACAATATCTAAATGCTATTAATTTGGAGGAATGATTACAGTGACTTGAGGGCTGAAATGCTCATTTGTTAAAAATGTATTACCAATCTGATACCTGCGTATGCCTATGTGTGAAAATGTTGATTGAAATTAAATTTGCAAAGCTATATATTTCGATGTGCAGATCTTGGAGAGTATGCAGCTTGTATTGCAGTACATGTACATTGCCAGTGAACATAATACAGACATTAATTAACTAAAAACTAACTGTATTTGGCAAGCAAGTTTGAAATCAATTGATAATACTACTTTTTTCAAAACTTCAAAACATTATAACCTGCATACACTCATAGATAATTGTTCAAAAGCACATTCACACAACAAATGACATTCATTTACGGCTCACGGTTCACTCTTTCTCTTCCAGATATCGATGAGTGCAGTTTGCAGACACACACCTGCTGGAATGACAGTGTGTGTGTGAACCTCCCGGGAGGCTACGACTGTGTTTGTACGTCCGGTCCGGGCTGCAGCGGTGACTGCCCCCAGGAAGAGGGAATCAGACGCAATGGAGAAGACTGGAAACCCAGCTTTGACCGTTGTGCTATATGCTCCTGCAAGGTACAGAAGAGGAACACACACATACCGTTGTTCACACTGATGTCCACAAGCTGGTGGAAGATCTTAACTCTAGGTTTTCATTGTAGCTATTATCTTAAGCTTTCTCTGTCTTCTATGACTTCCTCTAACTTAGCTGTTTATTTAAGACAATGTTAACTTGTGACTTTCAGATAAATATGCTAATTAACCGGACACTTTATTCGGCTGAAAGCTGCCAGTTAAAAGGGGCACAGACTCAGGAGGGAGGGGGATAGAGAGTGCAGCTGATTAGTGCAAGCAGGTACAGAGATTAAACATTATCCTGTTGTAGCCCTTACAAAGTAATTAGCATCAACATAAAAAATGGTAGTAAAACCACATACTGTGCTGTTGAGCCACCCTAAATCACCACAGAGAGCCGTAACAGAACAAACAAACAAACACTTTTCTGATTGTTATTACCTCAGGAGAGCAAATTTAATCATACAGGTCATACAGGTCAGCTCAAGTAAAAACTCAAGTAAAAACACCTCAGTGCTCCCCTCTGTTTGTCTTTAGCCTGTGCTACATTCTGACAAATATTTTTGGCTGCAGGAAAGTGAGATATTGATCAGATTTATCTTCGCGAAGGTGAGGCTCAGTTAGTGAGATTAATATGAAACGGACACAGATTGTTATTCGGAATAAAATGACAGCCGAGAGCAGAGGTTCCAATAATCATCTTTCACATAATTACCCTGCTAAATACCACTATGAACTAAGGCGAACTCTATTACAGAAGTGTATCATGAGTTATGACATTTTAGTTCAACACACATTAGTAAACACATCCAAATTAGTTAAATTTCTCTGTCATAACATGTGTAAACTGTAACAGCAGACATCTGGTGATTAATATCATGTTGCCAACATGTTGGTTGAGTGACTTCAGTCATCCTGCAGGGCAAGATGATTCTTGCAGCGGAAGCCACTTTGCTCCTGTTCATGTGACAAATTTAGAGATAGATGACCAATGGAACGTAAACATCTTCATCAATTTCTGTCTTGGCTCCATCAAGCCTCTGTCATGGATCAAATGTCCAAAAGCAAAGCGACTTCAAGCAGTCTGTCTTTCAGCAGCCACATTTCCAATATAATATAGTTGTTTTGTAGAGTAAATGTTTGCAGCTTATTTATGATGTCTTAAAAGATCTTTTTTTACTGCATGCAGAGTGCTATTTTATCTTTATTTTGTGTCTCTATTTTGTGTATTAGCAGTAGTAGTATATGGTCATGCTTAACAGACTTTGTAGAAGTGACAGAAATGAGAAAAACTAGCTTCAAGCAAATAAATAATGAAATGCAGCCTTAAATATTTGTTTCATGTCAACTGCCAATAAATGTATGCATTAACATACATTTACAAGGGAATTTCTTGATTCAGAGATGTAATAGAAATAGCATAATTATAAGAGTGGAGAAAAGAGACACAAGTGTGACACGCTCTGGACAAGTTCTGCTCACATTGCTGGTTTACCAGCATTGATCTGGATCGCAGGGACCAAGGCTGAAAACCACAGCCTGGTGACTGCGTGGCAGCCAGAAAGTTACTGTCGGTGGTTATGGAGAGATACATTGAATGTCATCAGGGTCAGAAAGTACATTTTACGTGGTAAATGCAGCATATGAGATCAGAAGTGGAAACTGGAAAATATATATTTTTTTCAAAGATATTTTTTGGGTGTTATTTTTGATAGGACAGGTGAAGCTAGACATGAAAGGGGGGAATAGATAGGGGGAATGACAAGCAAAGGGCTGCAGGATCTTCTATTTTCAGCTTTCACTGATGTTTATTTTAAGGGAAATGAAAGGAGAAATTTAGTTAAACTAGAGAATTAGAGTCAACAAGCATCAAAATGCCCTTAAATCAATTTACCTTCAAAAAATATCCTGGAGAGGAATACCTAATCCTAGGACTGTGCTTAAAACGTGCCATACATATTTATTGAAGAGAATGTCATCTGCAGTCATCAAATTCATCATAAAGTCGCTGTCATCAAAGCTGAAATAAAAAAGCAGTATAATGATATTGTTTTTGTTAGCACAATAGCGCAGCATTAGCATGCATGCCTGGTCTTATTCCTGGCATTAAAATGAACAGTCTGCATTCATGCATCCTGCCAGCGTGGTACAATTGGCAATAATTTCCCAGCAAGTCCAGGGCCGTAACCATAAAAACCAACGGCATTGGTGTTGGTGCCCTGGGACTCAGCGGTTACTGTAGCAGGACAATAAGCATCGATAAAACATTGGCTCTGTATTGCCCTTTTAATGGTATGCGGAATGATTTTATGGCTCCCATACATTTTCTAATACCCATTTTATGTAACATTTTTACATCTCCATTACACTGTCGTCCCAGGGCCAGACAGTGCTGGCTGTGGTGAGTAAAATGGACCATAAAGTTTTCTCCGGGTAGAGACGGAGAGCCAGGGACATGGTGGTCGAGGAGGTTCCCAGATCTGGCAGATTCCTCTGCATTTGACTTTGCATTCCAGCCCAGACACCAAACTTCTAACACGATCTTGCTTAATTCGCTGCTGTAATAAATTTCTGTTAGAAAATGGAGATTTAAGAGTTGCTAAAATACATTAGGTGTATGCCGGCCCTGAATAATCTGCCTGAATGATCCAGTGTGCAACATTGTTAACTAGCTCTTCCCGAAGGCATCCAAGACAGGTCCCAGATAAGCACCTTGATCATATCCAAAAGATTGTTCTGATAGGGGTCTCTGAATCCTTTTTTTTTAATGCTGAGATTCAATATCTCTGCAATTGCACCACTTTCACAAGAGAAAATGTCAGGCATTCAGTGTTCTCTCAAAGTTTTGGGGTCTTTTCGGTGATTAAAAAGTTCGGTAACGACATTCAGGGCATCCAGGAATCCTTAAACTCTTCACTGTACCTGTTGAATGCAGGTTAACCTACCTATTTAATGATAAAGAAACTGCAGTACTTTACAGATATGAAGCGACACGTGAAGTTAAAGTATTCGTCGACACAATTTTTATGAAGTCATCAACATATGTTAGTCTGTTTGCCCCCTGACTGCTGTGACCTCTGTTGTGCAGGACGGGCAGACATACTGCAGGAGGAGACCCTGTGACTGCGGAGACCCAGATGAGGATCTGTTCTGCTGTCCTGGCTGTGACAACCGGCCCAGCAGCCAGTGTCTCGACCAGAGTGGACGCACACTGTACCGCAGTGGAGCATCCTGGCTGTACGGCTGCCAGCAGTGCCGCTGCATGGTCCGTACACAGAAACACACACACATATACAAATTCACACAGGAGTTACATGTGTTTTGTCTACAGAAATTAAAGCTGACCTTCATATTAAATCTTAAAAAAGTGTGATGAAAGTGGTTTGTTAGAAGAAACAGATGACATCGAAAACATCAACATGAAGCTTGAATCTGGGGTTTGTTAAATACCTGGCCCGGATCTCTTGCTCAGCTCTGTGTTTAAGTGTGTGTGGAGGGCTCATAATTACCACCTCTCTAGTTAAAGAGCATGTGAGTTGTAACTGCAGTCACGAGATCAGCTGATTCACACAGAAAAAAAACGCACACACAGTAACATTTGTGGCACCTTTCTTCTTTGTTATCTTTCTCTGTGTCTTTGCAGGAGGGGGAGGTGGACTGCTGGCCTCTGGTTTGCCCCGTGTTGATGTGCGAGTACACAGCGGTGGCAGAGGGCGAGTGTTGCCCGCGCTGCGTCACAGACCCCTGCCTGGCCGACAACCTGTCGTATGACATCCGACAGACGTGCCAGGACCCCGCAGGCGTCGTCCGCCTCAGCGGAGACACATGGCATATGCCCAACTCACCCTGTACCACCTGCAAGTGTAAGGTAGGCTAAAGCAACAACAGCCACGATGAAGGTTTGCTTTACTGTGCTTAACTGAAAATTCACTTTGTGAGTGCTTTTTACATCATCTATTTGTCTAGCCCTGCAATTGTCCATGCAGTCCCATGCAGTCACATAAGCTTGAAATTGTGTTCACATCAGTTTTTAAATTCCTCCGTACCTTTACAATGGCAGTGTGTAATGGTAAGCATTCTGGGCTATTAATACTGAAGGAAATTTTTGGTATAGTGAGTTTATCTAATGTGTGCTGGAGGATATGCAACTGTCTTTCTTCCAAGGTGAATAAATACTTGACTATCACAGATAATGTAAGGCACATTTAATCTTAAGAGCACAAAATATGCAGATCACTGTGTCCGGAACATGTCACCACAACTCAGATCATTTCCACACATTTAGTAAAAACAATCTTTTGTTTCTCAGTTTTGCATATTTTTAGCAATCAGAATTTAAATTAGCCAAAAGAAGCACATCAAACATGTGATTCAACATCAACATTTCAGGTTATTTTGTATCGTGATTACATAAACTGAATCAGTGGACTTAGATATAGAATACATACAAGTCATAGCCAGCCACAGCAGCTGGTGCACTCACTCACACTATGGTTACAGCAAGTGGTTATAGCTACTGTCAGAGCTCAGAACTACTGTATTTGTACGAGGCAATATTCCGACCAAATCAGATGTTTTAGCAGCCTGCGGAGATTAGCCACAGGCTGGTACGGCGGTGTGTGGGTGTGTTTATTTGTGCTTGAAGTAACCGGTGTGAAACCATCAGAAAATAACATTTTATTTCTCTGATTTCTTCCCCAAAACAAACGCCACGGAGATTTTTGGGTATTGTTATTTTCCGGAGCAAAGACTGGAGCCCAGACACAAGACATAGAAAACTGGTTACAATAAATAAATCAAGTGAGGAGGACAACATAGTTTGGTCCATGTACTGCACCTGGATAGCACCGTTTTCAGTAATATTTTAGGCTGCTGTGGACCAGTTTGACCGGTCTGCATTTGGCCACCGCAAAGTAATGTCAAGTTGCTGATTCTGTTTCAACCTGTTCCAGCCTGAGTTGGTCTGAATCGGTTCACAGAGCAGTCACTTAGCAGCTGTGCGATTGGTTAGTCACCTTCAGTATGAGCTCCTGAGCATTACTTTTGGTAAAGACATAGTTTCTAATATTCTGTTCCCCTCCAACGTGCTGGAGTGGCAGCATAAATCTCAGAGATGGATATCTTAAAACCATAGCAGACAATCCTGAAACTGAAATGTAACAGGGCCAAAAATATAGTATGTTCTTTTGTAGTTTGTGTGAACTGACCCTTATTGTAGTTGTCATGTTAACACTGAGAGTTTCCTGTGTTTTAAGTCTTAAGCCAGCCAGGCTCTGAATTGTGTTATTAAATGCAACATATACAGCATATTATAATACACTCCAGTATATTTAATGCTATCTTTCCTCTTTCCTGTTTTTTAATGCTGTGCGTCTCAGAATGGGAATGTTTGCTGCTCAGTGGATCTCGACTGCCTTCAGAACAACTAAAGCTCTCCTCCTTTCACTGCGGGACTGCCACGCCCCCTCCTTCATCCGACGACCCTCCCCTTGGATTCATAAAACAGACTCACGCACACACTTGTGCATGCCAGGGTGTGCAGAGAAAATACAAACACACACTGGATAGACTGGGATGTTGAGACTGTGCTTTTATGCCGTAACTTTGTTGACAGAGTGTGTGTGTGTGTGTGTGTGTGGGTGTGTGTGTGTGATGTTGTGTGTGTGTGGCTCAGGTGGAGACTGAGGCCATAGTCACCACAGTCACTGTGTTGTGTATGTGTCTTTGTGTTGTTTCCATTTCAGTCCACGTGTTGAGGAAACCTGTTTAGCACCATGTCTTGAACCCCAAATCTGGGAGGAGCAGCAGGAAGCAGGTTATTAGGAAACTGATTCACAGCTGGACAGATGTTGCGGTGCTCCAGCTGTCTGTGTTGCCTAAATGTAGACTCACTATTGTTTGGTCACCTTGGAGGTCATCATAATACATTTATTATTGTGGTGACCAAAAGTAATGCACCCTAATTGTATATGATGTTCTGTGAAGCTACAGTATCAGGATGCAAGGTTGACAGGAGATAGTTTGATGTAGAAATAACACCTAGAAAAGTAAGAAAAAAAGACCTTCAAGTCTGATAATGAAGGTTCAGTTTCCAACTCAATACCAACATCTTTCATGAAAGTGACTTTTTCGTGTTATTTCAACAAATATTTTTTACTTTCTACTGTGACAAACACCTCACCTAAACCTTTGAGATGTCTTGCTTTATACAAAGTCAATTCATGATACGTTCTCACAAACAGATTTTTTATCAAACAGCTGTGAACTAAATCTTCCTCTGGCAGATTAAAAAAAATCAGTAAAGAAGGAAAGAAGGAAAAAATAAATCTTAATCCATTAACTTGGCTGTGCATTTACATGTTTCTGTGGGTGAACATTCAAACAAATCAAAGGTGCATAACTTTTCTTTACATTCTATGTAAATGTTTTAGGACACATCATCCAAATTCCTGCATCTACACCCAAAAGCTGTCTGCTTCTTCCACTTTAAGGACCGGATCCTGCAATGTCCATGTATCTAGAGAAGATAAATGCCCGAATTTGGTGGACACAGCAAATTATGTTATTGCAGCCCTCAGTATCCCACTATGCACCAGTCAGTTGTCTCACATATCGTTGTTATACAGTTGTCCATCATGATTTGAACTGAATTATTTCAGCATGAACTGTAAACTTCCTAAACTATTATTATACTTCTAGTTTTCACTAGTATTTCTGTTTTTTGTTTGAGGGCAACATCTTGGTGGTAAAAGTAAGTATTAAGAAGAATTAGAAGTAAGGGTGATGCATTTTAGCCTGTGGCCTTTATTAAGATAAAGGCCATTGGCTGAAATGCATTGGTTTCATAAGGAAGTTGTTCTCAATACGGGAAGTGTTGCTGAGGCTTTCATTTTTGACAAGCAGCGCCTGAACACACCATTAGTTTTGGTCTCTGTGAGGCTAAACAATGACATTTGGAAAGGAGGTGCAGTCTCCACATGTCAGAGTGCTTTGGATCAAGTGCTTGTCAGACCATCGAACAGCATTTGAAATTCCCTCCCCCACAGCCTTCCACCATTTAGGGGGGGGGGGTGCATCTGACAACTTTGGCAATATTCTGAAACAGATTATCTGACAAGCACGCCCACTTCAGACAGTGATTGGCCAGGTGTGTGGAGGTATGAGAGCATGAAGGGTTTGAACTTCTGTGTCTCGCCCTACGATGGCAGACTTGAATGAAGGGTGGCCATTTTGAAGAGGTATAAACACATTTTTAGACGTAGGTAGACGACACTTTGTGTGAAGAATTGTAGTTTATTTCAGGCATACCCCATTGTATTTACTCATTGTAAATGGCCCACCCTCATGAGTCACATTCTTTATAAGATCCAAATAAAATTTTTCCTCAGCCTCAGTGTTTCCTCTCTGATGAGGCTGACTGTCAGATAGTTACCTATGACAACAACAGCAATGAAAAGCATGTGATATCAATCTGCACAACAGGCTCTGGCACTGGCCGAAGCAGTTAACTTACTCAGCAGAGCTCATGGTGCATCAGACTATTCTTGTATCTCCCAGAGCTCCTCAGCTCCAAACCATACACTGAAAAAACATGAAAAAACTGAAAGAGAGAAAAGGTGGGGATAATTAAAGCCATGTCACGCTGGCCTGGATTCGAGTATGCCAGGAGGTCACCAAGTGTCAAATCTGTTTACAGACGGCCAGGCTTATTAAGGCAGGAGAGTCTGGTGCTTTCCTGCTACAGTTCACATAGTCACAGCTCTGACGCCACTCTGTTCTCCCGCCCTGCCCTCTCCTCCACAGCTCTCTGAATTATCCTCAAGCTTGTTTCGAGAGTGCTAACAATTCCCTCAAGTGTTGTCATTATCAACCTGTTTGTCCATCACTGTCTGCTGTTTTTCCCACAGCAAACCAGAATTTCTAACACTGTCTAAACATTCTGACTTTGAACTGCGTGTTATGGCCATGGATTGTGCTTCAACTATGAAATTACTACCTGATAACAGCAGAAGTCTAACATACCAGTTGCACCTTTTGCTCAGGTGAAAGTTATTCAGTAAACCTTTCTTATACAGCTCTTTATAAACCCACTTTACAGTCAAGGTAAAATTATTTCAGTTGAAAGATTTTCAAAGCTGGTACCAACAGTCAAGGTCTCTACACTGTTCTTCTGCACACCAGCATAGTTGCAGATATCAGGACAATTTTTTTTCCTTCGAGAGAATCAACTTGCTGCCTCAGAATGAAAAGCAGCTCCCACAGATTGAGATAATCCTTCACAATGAAAATGAAACCTTTGTTTGGCTTTTCTGTGTGAAATGAAGTAAATCAGCTGGAGCCCTAAAAGATACTGGTATTCCTCATCAAAATCAGGGGTGATACTGGAAAGTCTAGTGCACACTACTCGACTTTTACTGTGACTTTCCTAGAGCAGACAAATGTTTGAGATCTGAGACAAAAATCCTCGAGTAGGCGTGGCTCTGTGACTCATCTTTTACTTTGTCATGAGCCATCCTACTCACTACAACATATTTCTGTCATAGCCAGAAACAAGATGTGCTTGTAGAGCATTTTGAAGGCTGATACAAGAGAAGAACAGTATCCAATGAAAGCGCAATAGGCACCTGAAGCCAGGAAATGAGGAAGGCAGTGTACACGTGTAGTCACTTCTCACATGTTGTTTCCTCAATGTAACGGCCATTCCCTCCTGTTGAGAATCTCTCCAAATTAAATAATCCTGTCATCAGTACACTTCATTGGAGATCATTGTGTCATTTCTGCACCCCACACATTGATAGGCCAAGATCAATACAGCAAATGTAAGGCTTTGTTGTAGTCTGCACTAGCTATAAAGGAAAAACTTTGATGCATTTTTTTGGAATTGTAACCGGCGTAAGGGGTGACCTTGGTCTTTGTATTTGAAAATAAATGTCTCCACCATCTCGCTCCTACTGACCTTCCACTATTTAATGTCAGAGTAGTTCTTGTTTCTGGTCGTGTTTCTGCTCCCTCAAAGAAACAGCGGGAAAAGATATTTTTCTACGTGCACAGAGTGCGTTGTTTGGACTCCAAAACACGGTGGTCCTTTCACAAATTTTTGCAAGTGATGCTGTTTGTTCAACGTCTGGAGGGGACAGTGGCATGCAGTGAGGTGTGCCGCTGTTCTGACCTCTCGGTCACAATGTCCTTGTGTCGTCTTTGTTTGCCACCACATCTGTTTGTGTCTCACCTGAGCATTTCTCTGTGTACTATCCTCCATCGTCACTATGCCTCTTGTAAAACTCAAATTGTCAACTGTGCACACAAAAGAGAAAACAAGTGATGTAAATGGTATCTGTACCCATCCTGTTTAACACAGCAATCAAAAGCAGACATTTGTACAAAAGATCACTGAAAACAAGGTTTTCAGATTGCTCTGTTGATTGATTTGATATGAAATATAATGACTACTGTAAAACACTATTTGCAAGTCTGTGTGTAAATGTTTTTACATACTGACAATATGATAAAATTATACAGTTTTTTAATTATCATTGTGTTCATGAATGACATATTAATTTTAGTGGACTACTTTTCTTTTTGTGGGATAGGTTCTGTTTTGCTGTAAATACTGTGTAAAGTGAAGGGTACTGTAAAGAGAGTAAGACTATGTGAATAATTCTCATTACAGCTTCTTAGGATCTGAGCGTTGCAAGTCGAGTGACAGAGAAGCAACATTTCTATTGTTTCTACTATTTCTTTATTTTTCTATTCTTGCCTTAACCCTTTTAGTATCTGCCATAGTTTAATATTTGTCTTCTCGCTGTTTTAGGACATTATGGATTCGACTAGACTGTGTGTTTGTACAGATCTCTGATCAGTTAGTGACCCTCATTAAAAGCTGAGGGTCAACAGAAGTGCATTTTGGGAATCAGAATGAGCGTAGACCAGTGTCTGTTTTGGGCATCTTTGCAAACAAAGGACAGACTTTTCACTTCACACCTTTTTCTTTTTCCTTTAACATATATCTGTATGAACTGAACTGAAAAATCTCTTCATGAAAACCAGACAAAATAGAACTATGTACACATGTAAAAAAAAAAAAATCTAATGTTGAAAATGACAATGTTGTTCTTGATTCAGTTCCTACTTAGAAAAAGAAGCAAGCCATTGTGTTTCTCCTTTAATGTCTGACTTTTTTAAAAGAAGACGTTTTGGACCTTCTAGATCCGGATGTGCTTGTTCATGTTTTTGATAGAGGACCGCGGCGGAGGACTCCCCCAGGTCTGTTCATTGTTACTTCTCCAGATCAGAGTGGCAAACCTAATTGTACTCAAAGGGTTAAGTGTCATTTGACTTGAAGACTGTGTTGTGATAAGAGTTTGCTGTAAAAAAAAAAAAAAATTCTTCATTTAATAAATATTTTAGTTGTTTACTTTATTTGCTGAGAATATTTGGTTTATTATAAGTGTGATTATGACAAGCAGTTGAACTCGCAGGTTTGCAGGTACAGTAGGTGAGTAATACTTTCAGGGTAATGGCAAAAATAGATGACAGATACTGTATATGGCAAAATCATGAGACACCCAAACATCACAGCATCATGCCATCCACCGGCAGCTTAAACAAAAGCGATGTCTCCAAGCTTCAGAAATGAAAGCAGGATCAGGATATAGTCCTGCAGAAGTCTTTCATGTTCTACTTTTATCAATACTGCCGTTTTCCATTTCTCTCTGGAAAAGTATGAAAGGCTGCGTTGCAGTAAAGATAAGTATATCCTTTTGATGCTTTAATGGAGCGCTGCTGTGCTGCTAACTGAAACAGGTACAGCAATACTTTTGAAGCTATACTGCTGGAAAAAGTGAAAGCTGCACAGCATGGAACCTAAAGTTTTATGTTTTCTTGCAGCACCGCAATTAATAAAAACACACACACAGCACCCGAAATTATACAAAAATACACACGTTAACTGAAATGCAGGTAATCAAATTAAGAAGTCGGAAGTTACTCTTTACTTACTGAAACTTACTCTTCATCTGTTAGTAAAGGCATAAAGTCCTGCACTAGACTCAAGGGTCACTAGGTCAGTAGCTTATGATGGCTAAATCATTAATAAATAATTTAAAAATATGTTGCTGTTTAACTGACATTACTTAACTATAAATTTTGCACTTTGAAAGTCATGTGAACCCTAACACAGAACCCTTATGTCCAAACCAAATATTACTTTTTATCGGTACAACAGAATATCAATTATAGATGTACAACTTCCTTTCTCAGTATATTCCTATTATAACAATAATTCAGAAAAGCTCAAGCAGTTAAACGAAAATGGAGTGAAATCTGCAAGCTAGTTCAGGCAGTCAACTTCAGGGCCACCAGATCACTCGAGCTGAGGCGCTGCATATACACACATGACACTGGCGTTTAATTCATAAGTCACTAGACAAGCGCAGCCTTTCAATTGGCGGTCTAATTTCAAAAGGATGCGCACATTTCCCAGAGCATCTACCTCTAGCTGTGTCAATGCTGCTAGTTGCTTTGCATCACTATGCTGTTATCTGTAAGCTATTGGCGGCCTGCGTACGGTAAAAACAAAATACATGAGCGCGTGAAAAAGAAAGTGGAGAAAGTAGAGTCAAAAAATAAAACAAAAAAAACAAAATGGATATAAAAGGAACGGGAAAAACGGACATCCCCACAACACTAGCAACAACAAAAACCCGAACCCACACAGACCTAACGAAGCTTGCACCACCACGCGTAACACCATCCGAAAGCGACCAGGCCCCGTCCGAACACAGAGACCGGCGAACAGCTAACAATAGAACGAGACAACAATAACCGACAAAACACAAGAACATACACAGCCATAACCCGAAAAAACACCAGCCACACAAACACGACATAGCCAGCCGCCGACCAACGCCCGACACCCGCTACCACCCTCACCTGACCGCTGATAAAGCAACCCACCCACCCCAACCCAGCCATCCAACCTGTAGGCTCGCGGCTAAAGGGGTTAGGGTATTTGCTGTATCTCTTTGTAAACATATCTGCGGGGAGTGATGAGGTCGGAGCCTGGACGCCAAAATCTAAATATGCTATACTGCTTCAATAAACATTTCAAACGTGAGTTGTCTGACTGAAATAACAATAAATAAACAGGGGATCTGATGAAATTCAAGATTCATCCTCTGGGGACCATGAATATCTCTATGGATTTCATGCCAAGCCAACTAACCAATAGTTACCAAGACATGTCACAAAAACAACAAAACAAAATATCAACCTGCTGGTGGTACTTAATAGAGACTGCCTCACATTGATTAATGATCTTTTCCTGACCATAACTCAATGTTTTAGTAGCCTAAATGGCAAACCCCAATCTCCAGTATCAGAATCTTGTACACTGCATGTCCAGCCAACCCTGACCTCTTCACTTTGACATTTCAAGGAAATGTTTCCTAGAAAATATGTTTATACTGAGTAGTATTATCATTATCATTATGACTAAACCACAATGTCAGATCTAAATTTTTTACATGAAGACATCTGAATCTGGTGTCATATCTGGAAGCTACTAAAATGTAAATAAAGACCGGAGGTTTTAATAATTCTGCAGTCTGCAAAGCAAAATATACATGTTTTTTCCAGTTAAAATAACATCTGATATCTACTTCAGGTTTGTTGTTGTTGAGATAAACAACTGATTCTCTGCAATGAATCTTCCTTAAACACACTAGAGCACTAGGGAATACATACTTTTAATATTATACAGGACTATTATGTCATCAGTCCCAGTGCGTTTCCATGAGCATCTGCTTGCCACAGATTAGTACGAATGTCTTTATCTTAGATTGTGAGCTAAGATGCCTCTGGGGGAGAAACGCTCTCTAGTGAGCAGTACTGGGGAGGGTTCAGTCAATTAACCTGCTGTCAGTCAGCTGTAAAGAAAGTGCTCTGTTCTCTCTGCTCTGTCTGTCCCGGTCATGGTGAATGGTGGCCCTGTGCTCCCTGTCTGTCCCGGCCCCCGCTCCCGTCGACCGGGGGCGGCGCCACCCATAGGTGCTTACCATTCATGGGCTGAAACCATGGAGGTCGCCACAGAGGTGATAGAGTGACTCCCTCAGCAACAACTCTCATCTACTGTATAGATGCAGACAGGGAGGAGAAGGGGTACACAGCTAGCACCTATGCATGAATGAACTGACTTAACAGCACACAATTGAAGATTGCTTTTTCAATCAGTTCTAATTTAACTATAAGAGATGTCTTAGTCTCCCTGATAGATTTGTTGGGGTAGAATAACAAAGAAGAGATAGCAGTTTGGCATCAATTCAGCAAAACAGAAAGTAACTTCAGCAACCTCCCCCTCCTCCTTCAGCCGCCACTTCCTCCTCCTCCTGCCACCAGCAGTCAAATCGATCAATTTCTCCTCTTTCTATTGACATTTCATGAAAACCCCAGGCAACCAGATTGAAATGCAAGAGGCAACAATACAAGTGCTCCGCCTCAGGCTGAGAATTAATTCATAAACTATGTGCATATTGCTCATGTTAATACGATGAGGATTAAGCTGCTTAAATGCCTTATCGACATTCTGACCAATCAATGGGTGTGTAATTAAAGAGTGCAGCTGAGCCAGTGACAAGGCAAGCCACACCACAACTATTGACCTGTTGTCAGATAGAGCAGCTAAGTGTTTATTTAACCCAGTGTCATGGTGTGTGTGTGTGTGT